TCCTTACTTCTGTTCAGGGTACCACCATCCTTCAAGCCAATGAACTCAAAATGTTGGATTCGCTTGTGTGACTCCTTTCTTCCATGTTCCCTGCGAAATTATTTATGAAATCTCCCCTGTCAAATAAACTCAATCAAGTAGTCATTATTTCACTTCTGCAGCTCTGATCATAGCTGTAACTAGCCAATTCATTTCATGAATATCTGTTAAACACTTAACTTGCCTGCAAGACTTAGAGGCCCAGTTTACCTGACAAGATAAGCCTGGGCAGGTAATGTCTGTCCTTAACTATATAACATTGACAATGTAATTTATCAACAATGTTATTTATTATCCAAACCAGTAGATTTAAAAAAGCAAAATAAGGCATTAAAAATAGTTGAACATCCAGTTGCACATAGCTGGCTCAGTCAGTGGAGCATGTGACTCTTGAACTGAAGGTTGTGACTTTAGGAGTTCCACTTTGGATGTAGAGATTACTTTAAAAATATAAAATCTTAAAAAAAACATAGTTGGACATCCAGAAATGCGAGAATGGTTCAGTATCTGCAAATCAATGTGATGCACATTAACAAAATGAAGGATAAAAATCATATGATCATGTCAATAGATACAGAAAAAGTATCTGACAAAATTCTACATCTGTTCATGATAAAAATTCTCAACAAAGCGAATTTAGAGGAAACACATCTCAACATAATAAAAACCATATTTATGACAAACTCAAAGCTAACATCATACTGAATGGTGAAAAGCTCAAAGTTTTTCCTCTAAGATCAGGAACAAAACAAGGATATCCACTCTCAACACTTTATTCAACACTAGAAGTCCCAGCCACAGCAATGAGACAAAAAATAATAAAAGTCATTTAAATTGGTAAGGAAAAAGTAAAACTGTCACTATTTGCAAATGACAAGGTACAATATACAGAAAATTTTTTAAAAACAATAAAGAGGGACGCCTGGGTGGCTCAGCGTTTGAGCGCCTGCCTTTAGCTCAAGGTGTGATCCTGGATTCCCAGGTTCGAGTCCCACATCAGGCTCATTGCATGCAGCCTGCTTCCCTGTCTGCCTGTGTCTCTGCCTCTCTCTCTCTCTCTCTCATGAATAAATAAATAAAATCTTTGAATAAATAAATTTTTTTTAAAAATGCATTCCTGGGGATCCCTGGGTGGCGCAGCGGTTTGGCGCCTGCCTTTGGCCCAGGGCGCGATCCTGGAGACCCGGGATCGAATCCCACGTCGGGCTCCCGGTGCATGGAGCCTGCTTCTCCCTCTGCCTGTGTCTCTGCCTCTCTCTCTCTATCTGTGTGATTGTCATAAATAAATAAAAATAAATAAATAAAAAATATTTAAAAAATGCATTCCTTAAAAAAATAAAACAAAAAAAAAAAAAAAAACACTAAAGATTCCACCAAAAAAATTAGAACTAAAAAATTAAGTTGAAGGTACAAAACTAACAGAATCAGAAATCTGTTGTGGGGGATCCCTGGGTGGCGCAGCGGTTTGGCGCCTGCCTTTGGCCCAGGGCGCGATCCTGGAGACCCGGGATCGAATCCCATATCGGGCTCCCGGTGCATGGAGCCTGCTTCTCCCTCTGCCTGTGTCTCTGCCTCTCTCTCTCTCTCTCTCTCTGACTATCATAAATAAATAAACATTTAAAAAAAAAAAAAAAAAGAAATCTGTTGTGGGCAGCCCAGGTGGTTTAGCGATTCAGTGCAGCCTTCAGCCCAGGGCCTGATCCTGGAGACCCAGGATCAAGTCCCACGTCAGGCTCCCTACATGGAGCCTGCTTGTCCCTCTGCCTGTGTCTCTCCCTCTCTCTCTCTCTCTGCGTCTCTCAGGAATAAATAAATAAAATCTTAAAAAAAAAAAAAAAGAAAGAAAGAAATCTGTTGCATTTCTATATGAAATAATGAACTAACAGAAAGAGATATTAAGAAAATAATACAAAAAAAAAGAAAATAATACCATTTAAAAGTGCATAAAAGAATGAAATACATAGGAATAAATTTAGTCAAGGAAATAAAGGACTACTCTGAGAACTATAAGAGACCGATGAAAGATACTGAAGGATAGGAAATGTGAGTGGCTCAGTCAGTTTAAGCGTCCAACTCCTGATCTCAGCTCAGGTCTCAACTCAGGATCAAGCCCTGCATTGGGTCCCATGACCAACTTTTTTAAAAAGTTTAAAAAAATAAACTTTTAAAAATAAAAAAAGAAAGAGACTAAAGACAACACAAATAAATGGGAAGGCATATCACGTTCATGGACTAGAATTAACATTGTTAAAATGTCCATACTACCCACAGCAATCTACAGATTCAATGCAATCCCTATTAATTTTTTTTTTTTATTTTTTATTTACTTAGGATAGTCACAGAGAGAGAGAGGGAGGCAGAGACACAGGCAGAGGGAGAAGCAGGCTCCATGCACCGGGAGCCCGATGTGGGATTCGATCCCGGGTCTCCAGGATCGCGCCCTGGGCCAAAGGCAGGCGCCAAACCGCTGCGCCACCCAGGGATCCCCTGCAATCCCTATTAAATACCAACAGTATTTTTCACAGAAATAGAACAAATAATCCTAACATTTGTATGGAACTACAAAAGATACCTAACAGCCAAGGTAACCATGAGAAAGAACAAAACTGAAGTAACACAATTCCAGATTTCAAACTACGCTACAAAGCTACAGTAATCAAAACAGCATGGTAATGGCACCAAAAAAAAAAAAAAAAAAAAGACCCAGAGATCAACGGAACAGAGTAGAAAGCCAAGTAATAAACCCACACTTCTATGGTCAATCTACAACAAAAGACACAATACACAAAAGGGAAAGGACAGTCTCTTTAATAAATGGTACTGGGAAACTGGACAGATACATACAAAAAAATGAAACTGGACCACTTTCTTATACCACACACAAAAATACACTCAAAATGGATTAAAGACCTAAATGTGAGACAGGAAAACATCGAACTCCCAGAATAAAACACAGGTAATAAATTTTTAGACATCAGCTTTTTTTTCTTTTAAATATTTTATTTATTTATTCATAAGAGACATAGAAAGAGAGAAGCAGAGACATAGGCAGAGGGAGAAGCAGCCTCCATGCAGGGAGCCTGATGTGGGACTCAATCCCAGGACCCCTGGATCATACCGAGCCACAGGCAGTTGCTCAACCGCTGAGCCACCCAGGCGTCCCTAGACATCAGCTTTGACGGTATTTTTCTGGATTTGTCTTCCCAAGCAAAGGAAAGAAAAGCAAAAATAAATAGTTGGGAGTATGCCAAAATAAAAACCTTCTGCACAGCAAAGGAAACCAACAATAAAATGAGAGGCAACTTAGAGAATGGCAGAAGATATTTACAAATTATATATCTTGGAAGTAGTTAATATTCAAAATACCAAAGAATTTATAGAACACACAATTTATACAAGAAAACAATCTGATTTTTAAAATGGGCAGAAGTACTGAATAGACATTTTTCCAAAGAAGACATACAGATGGCCAGACACATGAAAAGATGCTCAACATCACTGATCATCAAAGAAATGCAAATCAAAACTACAATTATCACTTCACACCAGCCAGAATGGATAGTTATCAAAAAGACAAGAAGTAACCAATGTTGGTGAGGGTGTAGAGAAAAGAGAATCCTCATGCAGTGTCAGTAGGAATGTAAATTAGTACAGCCAATCCAGAAAACAGAATGGAGGTTCCTCAAAAAATTAAAAACAGAAATAACATACAATCAGATTAATTTTACTTCCAGGATATTCACTCAAAGAAAACAAAAACTCTACTTCATAAAACATATGCACCCCTAAGTTTACTGCAGCATTATTTATAGGAGCCAAGATGTAGAAGCAATCTAAGTTTACACTGATTGATGAATGGATAAAGATGTGTGTGCGCGCACACAGACACACACACACACATATGCATACAATGCAATACTACTCAGCCATAAAAAAAAAAAAAGTGAAATCTTGCCATTCATGACAATACGCACAGACCTAGAGGGTGATATGTCAAAGACAAACATCATATGATTTCACTTATATGTGGAATCTAAAAACAAAAGAAGCAAATAAACAAAAAAACAGACCCCTAAGTATAAAACAAACTGGTGGTGGCCAGAGGGGAGGATGGTGGCAGGGTGCATGCAACTCTTACTCTTGGATTTGTGAGTTCAAGCCCCATGATGGGCATAGAGAATATTTACAGTAAAATATAACAAAGATTCTAAAAAGATAAAAACTAAGTCATGGTGATAAAAAAGTACAGTGCAAAAATAAGTTGTGTGATTACAGAATGCTACATGCCAATTATATCTCAATAAAGCTAGGGGAAAAGTTTGGCATTAACTGATCTACAAAAGGCTTACACCAGATATATGGTCATGCTGACTGTAAATTCAGTACTTAGGAAAATGACTGCTCCATCCTAAATACATTCTACCTATTGATTCATAAATGAATGAGCTGAAATACTCACTTTATCACCTTCTCTTCACTCTTTATTTTATTGCAAGCTTATTTTCAGCCACAAACACTGTGTTGAAAGAGGCCAGCTATAACCTCCTACCAACTCCAAAAAAGCTTCAAAAAGCTTCAGTTTTCAATTAACCTCTCTAAAAAGCTTTCAACAATACTGACCCCTTCTCTCTCCTTCATGAAGCTCTGTTAACAATGGGGTAAACATAATCCTAAATATCAGACTATTTTAAAACAAGGCCTAGGATTTCTATCCCCCAACACAGAGATTAACTAAAAGATTAAGAATCTAAAGGTGCCTGGCTGGTTCAGTCAAGAGCATGCAACTCTTGATCTCAGAGTTATTAGTTCAAACCCCACGGTGAGGGTAAGGATTACCTAAAAGTAAAAATCTTAAAAAAAAAAAAAAAAAAGATTTAAAATCTAACCGATATTCACATTTTCCTTCTATATTTAACTTCTGGAAAATCAGTGTAAATAAAGATACAAAATCGGATACTTACCTCAAAATGACAGCCCCCATTTCAGTCTTTTAAGATGACAGATGATGTCATTACTTATTTTTTAAACTGAAGTTTTCATGGAAGACTTTCAAATTAGAAGATACACTACAAAAAAGGGTGAAGAAAGGTATTAACACCTAAATGAACTAAATTAAAAATAAAATTTTATTACTTGTATGACATTTGATTGCTTATAACTATTTCTAAATATGGGGAAAACAAAAAACATATGAACTGGGCAGCCCAGGTGGCTCAGCGGTTTAGCGCCGCCTTCCACCCAGGGTGTGATCCTGGGGACCCAGGATCGAGTCCCACGTCAGGCTCCCAGCATGGAGCCTGCTTCTCCCTCTGCCTGTGTGTGTCTCTCTCTCTATCTCTGTCTCTCATGAATAAATAAAATCTTAAAAAAAAAAAAAAACCTTTTAACTACAATATTAAAATTGTAGAACATTATAGGGAGAAGGGACCTAAAATGGATGTCCTATACAACTATCAAAATTCTCTCATTTTATCACTTCTTTCTTGAAACCTCTTTTCTGTAACATAGTAATTTTCTTTTTTTTTTTTTTAAAGATTTTATTTGTTCATTCATAGAGACACACAGAGAGAGGCAGAGACCCAGGCAGAGGGAGAAGCAGGCATCAAACAGAGAGCCTGACGTGGGACTCGATCCCGGGCGGGGGGGCTCCAGGATCATGCCCTGGGCTGCAGGCGGTGCTAAACCACTGCGCCACCAGGGCTGCCCTTAATTTTCTTTCTACTTCTCAAACTATTTCTCCATCTACATCATAAGCTGTTAACTATGGATATTTCATTTTCCCCCTTTCCTGTTTATTTTTTTAAAGATTTTATTTATTTATTCATGAGAGACACAGAGAAGAAGGCAGACACAGAGGGAGAAGCAGGCTCTCCGTGGGGAGTCTGATGCAGGACTCGATCCTGGGACCCCAGGATCACTACCCAAGCCAAAGGCAGATGCTCAACCACCGACCCACCCAGATGCCTCTTCTTTAATATCTAAAACACACAAAATATATGGAAAGACGCATGCAAAGATGAACACTATAGATCATCCCACAGAAGAACATCAATATTACATCTACCTATGTGCTCCTCTCCTCCCAATCTTTATCCTAAATACTTACTATTACATTACTGTTTAAAGCAAAACCTTGTCACGTATGTATATATCCCTAAACAATGCTGTGTTTAGGTTTGTTATCCCTGGCTCCCTTTTTCAGCTTGATAAATTCATATGCTGAATTTTGTCATTCAAATATTTTTCTAAGCTTTGTCCATGTCACTTTCTTTTTTAAGATTTTATTTATTTATTTGACACAGAGAGAGAGCGCACAAGCAAGGAGAGCAGGAGAGGAAGAAGCAGGCTCCTTGCTGAGCAGGGAACCCGATATGGGGCTTGATCCTAGGATCCTGAGATCATGACCTGAGCAGAAGGCAGATGCTTAACTGATTGAGGCACGTAGGCACCCCATCCATGTTACTTTTTAATTGTTACATTTTAATTGTATTTCATTATATAAATATGCCACAATATATTCACCCATTCTGTTTTCAGGCATTTGGATGGTTTAAAGTTCTTTGCTTTTGTCGACATTATTATATAAATGTCAAAAAAAAAATCTCCAGGTGCACATGAACACTGATTTCTTTTTTCTTTTTTTTTTTTTTAATTTTTTTTTTTATTTATTTATAATAGGCACACAGTGAGAGAGAGAGAGGCAGAGACACAGGCAGAGGGAGAAACAGGCTCCATGCACCGGGAGCCCGACGTGGGATTCGATCCCGGGTCTCCAGGATTGCGCCCTGGGCCAAAGGCAGGCGCCAAACCGCTGCGCCACCCAGGGATCCCCTGAACACTGATTTCTTTAGAGTATCTTGTAAACCTAGAAGTGGAATTGTTGGATTATAGGACATGTAAACACCCAATTTTACCAAAAATGCCAATTTGACTTCCAACTGTATCACTCTACCAACTCACCAGCAGTATGTAAACTGATGACACAATCCTCTCCAATACTTGGTAAAGTGAGATTTCTTAATTTGTGGAAATACAGAACATAATACCATGATTTCAATTTGTATTATTACCTGATTAGGTTGAAGACCTTTTCACATGTTTATTAATTATCTATGTTCCTTTTCACATTCCTTTGTTCCGTTCTGGCCATTTTTATTGGGTAGTCTTTTTCTCATTACTTACTAGGCTTAATATATTCACAACCAGGACTGCCTACATAATTTGCAGGCCCAGTGCAAAATTAAAAAGCAGGGCCATGAAATGCTGAGTGGTTCAGTCAGTTAAGTCTGACTTCAGCTCAGGTTGTGATCTTGGGGTCCTAGGATTGAGCCTCATGTCAGACTCTGTGCTGGTGGCCAATATTTAAAAATTAAGAATTTTAAGAATGAGGGGATCCCTGGGTGGCGCAGCGGTTTAGCGCCTGCCTTTGGCCCAGGGCGCGATCCTGGAGACCCGGGATCAAATCCCACATCGGGCTCCCGGTGCATGGAGCTTGCTTCTCCCTCTGCGTGTGTGTGTGTGTGTGTGTGTGTGTGTGTGTGTGACTATCATTAAAAAAAGGGGGGGGGGATTTTAAGAATGATAGTTTATCATGAAAGTAAGTATGGGGCCCTGTGTGACCACAGATTGTATGTACATCCATGAAGGCAGCCCTGTTCAGGACACTAATTCTATATTATATATAAAATAATTTTTTTTCTAAATGTGCAACAATTTTTTTCCAAATTTAGTTTATCTTTTCATTTTTCTATGGTGTCTTTGTTTTTTTTAATTTTTTTTTAAGTAGGCTCCACACCCAGTGTGGAACCCAACATGGGGCTTGAACTCATAACTCTGAGATCAAGACCTGAGCTGAGATCAAGAGTCAACGTTTACCCAAGTGAGCCATCCAGGGCTCCTATGGTATCTCTGGATGAAGATTAATATTAATGTGGTCAAAACTATCAAACTTTTTTTAAGTTGACCCTTCGGTCTCATTGGGAAAATCCTAGTCTTCACACAGTTTGATGGCTTTGCTTTCTCATAAGAATCCTAAAAAATGGGTGTTTTCCAATGATCAGTGAGCTCACAGCCCTCTCTTCTCATCCATAATGTCCCATTCTTCACTAATAAAATCTTAAAGGACTTTATGTACTTTATTGATAGCAGCATCCTAATCACATCATTTAATTCACTTCTAGGCAAGCCCACTCAAATTGGATTAGAGTTTGTGCTACACACCAAGTTTAGAACTATTATTTATATGTTGTAGTACTCCAAGTCAGAAATTTTCATAAAAACTCCAAACATCTGATTAGAACATTTTACATTTAAATATTTAAAAGAAGAAAGAAAAAACTTACAAATCTTCGAGTTTCATAAAATTAGGAATTAAAGGAGAGTATAAATGTTGCTATAAAGGTCGAAAATTTTTTTCATTTTGTATCTTCAAAAAAAGACTGCCAGGAAGGAAGTAATTTATTTTTTTTTAAAGATTTTATTTATTTATTCGTGAGAGACACAGAGAGAGAAAGACAGAAGCAAAGACACAGGCAGAGGGAGAAGCAGAGGGAGAAACAGGCTCCACGCTGTGAGCCTGACGTGGGACTAGATCCCGGGGCTCCAGGATCAGGCCCTGGGCTGAAGGCAGCGCTAAACCGCTGAGCCACCTGGGCTGCCCCGAAGGAAGTAATTTAATTCTAGTGTTGGTTTCTTTGTTTTTGCAATAAGGTCAATAAGAATGTTATAAAACAGATTTTAGACTATGTTAAAATATACCAAACTGCTTACTTTTCCAAAAGGAAGGGAACCAGTCAACTCAGAAATAACCACAGTTTGCTGGTGCAGGATGCTGACAGTCAGGGAGGCTTTGCGTGTGGGTAGGGGCAGGGATATATGGGAATTCTCTACTTCCTACTCAATTTTACTGTGAACCTAAAACTGCTCTAAAAATGATGTCTATTGGGATCCCTGGGTGGCGCAGCGGTTTGGCGCCTGCCTTTGGCCCAGGGCGCGATCCTGGAGACCCGGGATCGAATCCCACGTCGGGCTCCCGGTGCATGGAGCCTGCTTCTCCCTCTGCCTATGTCTCTGCCTCTCTCTCTCTCTCTCTCTCTCTCTCTCTCTCTCTCTCTCTCATTCTCTCTCTGTGTGATTATCATAAATAAATAAAAAAAAATTTAAAAAAAAAAAAAGATAAAAATGATGTCTATTTAAAAGGTGAAAAGGGACGCCTGGGTGGCTCAGTTAACTCAACAACTCCTGATTTCAGCTCAGGTCATGACCTCAGGGTCATGAGTTTTAAGCCCCCATTGAGCTCTGTACTCAGATGGGAGTCTGCTTGAGATTCTCTCCCTCTGCCCCTCCACCCATTCACACATGGGCTCTCTTTATTTTTTTTTAAAGGTTTTTTATTTATTTATTTATTTATTTACGATAGTCAGAGAGAGAGAGAGAGAGAGAGAGAGAGAGAGAGAGAGAGAGGCAGAAACACAACACAGGCAGAGGGAGAAGCAGGCTCCATGCACCGGGAGCCCGATGTGGGATTCGATCCCGGGTCTCCAGGATCGCGCCCTGGGCCAAAGGCAGGCGCCAAACCGCTGCGCCACCCAGGGTCCCTCTCTTTAAATACATAAACAAAATCTTAAAGAAAAAAAAAAAAGGGAGAAAAAGAAATGTATCAATTACCAACAAAAAAATAATCAATTTGACACAATATAGACTAATAAATGTAAGTATACTGCTTACTCTTCTTGAACAGTTAACAAAATTATTCTGATGTTCAAGGACACAATTCAATAAACGTCACTCGTAAAATTCTTAGTAAAGCTTTAGGTGAAAAGAGTGTTATTAATAACCTTTGCATGAAGATCCACTCACAGCTTTATTATGAAAAGAAAGGGAAAAGTTCTGTACAAACAATAAATATCCATTAAACTTTAAAAAGATGGGTAGAGAGGATTTCAAAAACTTATCCAAGCATTGAGAATAGCATATAGCCAAACCAAAACCCCTACACAGTCTATCTCTAGTCCTTGTTCAAGTAAAAGCACTTTTCTACAAAAACATAAACAAAATACTATGCCCC